CCTCCGTTTTATTTAAAAGTATGTTGTTTAATCTCCAAGTATTTTGGGATTTTCTAGTTATCTTTCTGTTATTGATTTCTAGTTTAATTCCATTGTGGTCTGAGAACAGACATTGTATAAATGCTATTCTTTTAACCTTGTTAAGGTGTGTTTTATGGCCCAGAGTGTGGTCTATCTTCGTGAACTTTCCATGTAAACTTGAGAAGAATGTGTACGCTGCTGTTGTTGGAGGAAGTAGTCTATAAATGTCAATTATATCCAGTTGATTGATAGTGCTGTTGAGTATACTCAACTGTCTTTACTGATTTTCACTAATTTTCTACCTGCTGAATCTGTTTTTGTTTGTTTGTTTGTTTGTTTTAAGATGGAGTCTCACTCTGTTGCCAGGCTGGAGGCAGTGGCGCAATCTCGGCTCACTGCAACCTCCAACTCCCTGCTTCAAGCAATTCTCCTGCCTCAGCCGCCCAAGTAGCTGGGATTACAGGCACACTCCACCACACCCAGCTAATTTTTGTAGTTTTAGTAGAGATGGGATTTCACCATGTTGGCCAGGATGGTCTTGATCTCCTGACCTTGTGATCCACCTGCCTCAGCCTCCCAAAGTGCTGGGATTACAGGAGTGAGCCACCTCACATGGCCAGATCTGTTCATTTCTAATAAAGGGGTGCTGAAGTCTCCAACTTTAATAGTGGACTTCTCCTTGCAGTTCTATCAGTTCTTGCCTTATGTATTTTAACACTATGTTGTTAGGCTCATATACATTAAAAATTATGCCTTCTTGGCATATTGACTCCTTTTATCATTATGTCCCTCTTTATTCCTCATAAGTTTTCTTGCTCTAAAAGTCTACTCTGTTTGAAATTAATATAGCTACTCCTGCTTTCTTTTGACTAGTGTTAGCATGGTATATCTTTCTTCATCTTTTGTGTATGTCCTTATAAAGTGGATTTCTTGTAGACAACACAGAGTTGGGTCTTGTTTTTGATCCACTCTGGCAATTTCTCTTTTTAAATTGGTGTTTTTAGACCATTGACATTTAGAGTGAGTATTGATATAGTTGGGTTAATACCTACAATATTTGTTACTGTTTTCTATTTGTTGTCTTTGTTTTATTTCTATTTTTATCCTCCATATTTGTTCTGCCTTTTGTAGTTTTAATTGAGTATTTTATATTATTTCATTTTCCTCACTTTCCTAGCATATCAATTATTTCTTTTATTTTTTTTTTGGTTACTGCCTTAGAGTTTGCAATATACATTCACAAGAAACCCAAGTCCATTCTCAAATAACACTATACCACTTCACAGATTGTGCAAGTAACTTATAATAACAAAATACCTCTACTCCCTCTCTGCTACCCCTTGTATATTGCTATTATTATTATTTTTACTTATACATAAGCATAAATCTGTAAGAATAAATAATTAATACATTGTTGCTATTATTTTGAACAAACATCTGTTAGATAAATTGCAAATACAAAAAATAAAAATTTTTATTTTACTTATTTATTGTCTGATGTTATTTATTTTAACATCAGAGAATAAACATGAGTTTCTGACCTATATAATTTTCCTTCTTTCTAAAGGATTTCGTTTAACATTTCTTGAAAGGTTTATTGGCAACACATTCAACTTTTGTTTGCCTGAGAAAATATTTATTTCTCTGTCACTTTGAAGAATAATTTCACAAGGTATAGAATTTTAGTTTTTTTTCTTTTGTCCCCGTCTCTCAACATTTTAAGTATTTCACTTAACTGTCTTCTAGCCTGCGTGTTTACTAAAGAGAAATCAGATGTAATTATTTTATTTGCTCTTTTATAGGTCAGTTTTTTGCTTTATGATTTCTTCAGTATTCTTTTCTTTATCTTTGATTTTCTGAAGTTTAAATATGATATACCTAGGTGTAGCTTTTTGGCATTTATTCTGCTAGGAGGTGTTCTCTGAGCTTCCTGGATCTGCAGTTTGGTGTCTGACATTAATGTGGGGGAAATTCACAGTCATTATTGCTTAAAATATTGCTTCTGTTCCTTTCTTCTGTTATTTTTCATTACATGTATGTTACATCTTTTGTAGTTGTCCCACAATTCCTGAATATTCTGTGCAATTTTTTCCCCTACTTTTTTTTTCTCTTTGCTCTTCAGTTTTGTAAGTTTCTATTATCATATCCTCAAACTGAAAGATTGTTTTCCTCAGCCATGTCCAGTCCTCTAAGAAGCCCATCAAATGCATTTTTCTTATTTGTTAGTGTTTTTGATCTCTAGAATTTCTTTTGATTCTTAGAATTTCCATCTCTTTGTCTATACTAACAATCTGTTATGGCATGTTGTCTACATTTGTATTGTAGCCCTTAGCATATTAATCATAGTTTTAAGAAATTCCTGGTCTGATAAAGATGGCAACAATTGACACTGGGTACTACTAGAGGGGGAAGGGAGGGAGGCAGGGGGGCAAAGGTTGAAAGACTAACTACTGGGTATTATGCTTTGGTATCCTCCATACCCCAAACCTTGGCATCATACCATATACCTAGGTCACAAAAACTGGCATGGTACACCCAATTCTAAAATAAAAGTTGAAAATAAATCCTTGATCTGATCATTCCAATATTCCTGCTATATCTGACTCTGATGCTTGTTCAGAGTCTCTGCAAACTATGTTTTTTACCTGTTAGTGTATCTTGTAATTTTCTGTTGAAAGGTGCGCACAATGTACTGTGTAAGAGGCACTTTGGTAAACAGACCCCGTAGTAACCTAGTGGTGAGGTATGAGGTTGGGGTGGGGGTGTGTTCTATAGTCCTGTGATTAGGTCTCAGTCCTTTATAGGCTTGTTCCCCTGGACTGTGAGCTTCATTATGCCCCTTTTTCTTTTTTTTTTTTTTTTTGAGGCGGAGTCTTGCTCTGTCGCCCAGGCTGGAGTGCAGTAGCGCACCCTCGGCTCACTACAAGTTCCACCTCCCGGGTTCATGCCATTCTCCTGCCTCAGCCTCCCGAGTAGCTGGGACTACAGGCGCCCGCCACCACGCCCAGCTAATTTTTTGCTTATTTGATTTTTTTACCCCCTTAGGAGGGACAGGATGGCTAGAGAAGGCTAGGGTAGGATGTTTCCCTTCCCCCAGATGTGCTAGGCTCTGATAAAGCCCAAACAGATTTGGCTCTGGTAAAAGAGAGTCTAATCTGTCAGACTCAATTTCCTCCAGAGAGAACACTTTGTTAAGAAGAACAGAATGCAGTGGTGTATTTTTAAATGATTTCTTCCCCACTCTTCGTGTTAGATGCAAAAGGGCATTTTTCTTCAATATTCCCTGAGAGGATCTGACAGAGTATCTGGAGGTAAAACTCACAAAAGTCTGAGGTTCACCCATATGAGTGGGTCTTCTCAGAACTGTCCACACGCAGCCTCCAGAAATTTGTCGATTACAGCTTAGGTTTTCCTACTGTACCAGTTTCTGCAAATGTTTCTACTCATGCATTTCTGCTCCAGGAAGTTGTGATTCTCTCTATCTGCCTGTTTCTTCAGTTTTGGGGGCAGCAATTTGCTCTGTAACCTCACTTTTCTGACAGATATAAGAAGAGTTGTTCATTTTTCAGTTTGTCCAGCTTTTTACATGTTAGAATGGAGTGGCAAGTTTTAAGCACCTTACAGGCTGGACTGGAAACCAGAAGTCTCCCTGAGTAGCTTTTTGGGTTCCTTGATAGATTATCTCCAAGCTATTTCTGAAATCCTCCTCCAGGCCCTTCACAGGGAAGCTTCCTGGGTGCTCAGTCCATTCCTCCTTAGCTCTCTTCATTGTTTGGCCTTTGAACTCAGAGTGGTGAGAGGCTTTGTTTGCCCTTTGTCTGATGTTTCCCTGATTATTTTCTCTGAGACTGCATTCATGCCAGAAACTCTGTATCTGATGGGCGAAGACTCACTGCAGTTGGAAGAGCTCTTTTGGACAGCAGTGATGTAGTTACTTTTGAATCTCATTGCTGACAGAAAATCTTTGAGACAGCGTGGGGACTGGCACAAAGGCCTGGGAGTCCAGGCTGGATGGGGTGGTTGTGAGCTGGAGGACCAAAGGCCTTCTGAGATCTTTGGACAACTGAGACTGAACCCACCAAATTCTCAGCTGCTTCTTCAACCACTGTCATTTGAGGGGTTGAATTTCAGTCGGTGTCAGAGACTGTACCTCCTTCTGGGTTTCCAGGGAAAGATAATCCACAGTCCTAATCTGAGATGGATAAGATCATGAAATATAGGAAAGAACTGAAAAAAATCAATCGACCTTTTTCTGAAGAGAAATTAGATTACGTGCCCCCTCAGCTCTTCATGGCCAAGTTCTCCAAGTTGACCCTTGAATGTTCCCATTTGCTTCTATGCATTGATGCTGAAAGGCTAGATAGAGTAAAAGGCTAGCATCCATCTCACTCCTTTTATTAAACAAGCTGCAAACATTTATAATGCATGGATAACATGACTTTCTACATTCAATTAATAATGAGTTGTGGATTTTTTCATGTTATTCACTTTTAAAGTGATAAAAATATTTTGTATGTTTTCTTCACTGAAAAATGGAAAGAAAGGTTTTTTGTACCACATCCTCAGTTGGTATTTCAGTTCGTAATCCTCAGATGAAGATAGCGTGGAGTCTTAGACCTCCCCCTGCTTGATGTTCCATGGGTGAAGATTCTGTTCCCTGAGGATAGGTGAGGTTCTATCATCAGATCAGGCTTAGAACCACTTTCCACACAGGCCCTAACCCAGAGGAAAGGCTTGACTCAGATGCCTGTGACAGAAAGACAACGTGAACGTTGCCCTCTTGCAGGGATCTTGACCTCCCACAACAATCCAGTCCTTGACCACTGAATCCCTGTGTTTGGGATGATATTCTTTTTTTTTTTTTCCTATTTCCTGTCTTAATTTTGTCTCTTTGAGCTAAAATAATTAATTTAGAAAAGTGGGAAGAGGAACAGGAAACAAGAGTGGCCTCAGTTGGGGCTGGGGCTTGGCTCCCTGACCTGGTTGATAGGTCCTTTAATCTGAATACTGATAGCAACTGGCTCCTCCACAGAAAGAAAGATAAAGGGAGGAGTCCAAACCCATGAAGAGGTTCCATGATGGCATCGATGCCTCATGGCTCCATCAAGGAAATGGTTGTCCCTCATCTGAAGGCTGAAGTTAACTGCTGCCTTAGGCAATGAACACTGGTCTGCTGTGATCTGGAGGGTTCCAAGGTCGCATCAGAGAGCAATGGAATAGTCACAAAGGGTTCCCAGGGCAGGGCAGGGGAATCCACAGCCCTACCCCTACCATCCACCCTCCTAAGACTCTAGATTCCTCTCTCCTTCTCTGGGCCTTCCTATCTGCCAGCCCTGTCCTCTCCTCACACCACATCTGTACCTTTGTGTAATTCTGTGTATTTTCCCTGCAACCCAAACAACCTAGAAAGCCCTTTACCCTTGGAGATCTGGCTTGGACCCCACCAATTCCACAGTCTTTGACAGTCTGGAGTTTTCCCAGGAATTTTACTAATTCCTAGGCAGTATTAAAAATGAAGAGGTGTGATACAGATAAAGTGCACATGTATCTTTAACACACAACTTTTTTTTTTTCCGCTCATAAATTTTGATTTTTTAGTTTGTTTTATTTATTTATGTATTTATTTATTTATTTATTTACTTACTTATTGAGATGGAGTCTTGCTCTGTTGCCCAGGCTGGAGTGCAGTGGTGCGATCTCAGCTCACTGCAACCTCTGCCTCCCAGTTTCATGCCATTCTCCTGCCTCAGCCTCCCAAATAGCTGGAACTACAGGTGCCCGCCACCAAGCCTGGCTAATTTTTTTGTATTTTTAGTGGACATGGGGTTTCACCATGTTAGCCAGGATGGTCTCAATCTCTTTTGTTGTTTTTATTTTTACAAATTAATAGGGTACATGAGAAATTTTGTTACATGTATATACTATGTAGTGATTAAGTCAGGATATTTAGGGTGTCCGTTACCTGAGTATAACAGATTTTTGTTAAGTGTATTCACTCTACTGTGCTATTAAACATTGAATTTATTCCTTCTATCTTACTGTATGTTTGTACTCTTTAGCCCACTTCTTTTCATCCTCCCCTTTCCCCTACCCCTACTCACCCTTCCCAGTCTCTGTTATCTGTCTTTCCACTCTCTACCTGCATGTGGCCAAATGTTTAGCTCTTATGTATAAGTGAGAACATTCAGCACACAACTTGATGAATTTTCACAAGTGGAGTACACCTGTGAGACTAGCACCCAGATCAGGAAACAGCGTGTTCCCAGCACCTTGCATGCCTCCCTGGTCACTACCCCCACACTCTCCCCACATCCACTCCAAGGGTCACAATGTGGCCCTCCTCTAGTGGCAGGGATTATTGTTTCCAAGTAAAGTTTGCAGCCCTTCATGTGTATTAACTCACTGAATCCTCACCATGCCCAGAGATGGTTCCATAACTGACTTATTTTACAGGGAAGGAAAGTGAGGAACACACGGGGTGCAGCTACCGAGACCCCAGTGCCAGTAATTAGCAAGCTGTGGTTCAGCGCAGCCATCTGGCTGCCCCAGTGGTTCACAGTCTTGAACCACTAAACTGTGCTGCAAAAATATCATGGCGGCTGGAGAAACAGTGTGAGTCAAACAAAACTAGATTATGTGGTGGCTTGTGCCTGTAATCCCAGCATATTGGGAGGCTGAGGCAGGTGGCTGAGCCCAGGAGTTCGAGACCAGCCTGGACAACATGGTGAAACCTTGCCTCTACAAAAAAGAAAAAAATTAGCCAGGTTTGGTGGTGTAGGCCTGTAGTTCCCACTACTCAGGAGGCTGAGGTAGGAGGATCGTTTGAGCCTGGGAGGTAGAGGCTGCAGGGGGCTGTGATTGTGCCACTGCACTCCAGCCTGGGTGAAAGAGTGAGACCCTGTCTCAAAGCAAAAATCAAAAAAATAAATAAAACCAGATTCTGGGAGAAGGACCATTCACTTCCACACGGCTCTTTGCAGGTGACTTTGCTTGTGCTTGTGCTGTTTTCGTCTTCCCACTTGCTGCTCAGGACCTGTAGAGGGGCCTTAGGGATGGGGGTTGGTGCGGGGGCAGTGACTGGCCCAAGGGCTACACCTGGAAGGGTGGGATCAGGTTTGAGCCCAAACCCAACCAAGGGACATTTTAGTCCTCTCATTTCACATGGAGAAACTGAGGCGAGGAAGGATTCAATGGGCCACATTGCTCCTCTCTCAGCGGGCCTGGGGAGCAGGGGGTATTGCTTGTAGCTGAGACTAATTTGTCATAAGTTATCAATCACACCTGTGTCTGGATTGAATGTTCAGAGGCCACCAACCCCTCAGAGTCCTTGGTGGAGCATGGGACCTCAGGGGCACTTGTGCTGGAGGCAGGAGGTTTACCTGGGAGCCAGGCAGACAGGATCCAGGAAGAAGAAAGGATAGTATAAAGCTGCATTTAGAGGACCTTACTCCTTTGCAAAGTAAAATGAAATAAAAAGGAATGCTTTTGAATGCTTCTCAGTGCTGAGTGTTTTCCGTGATCTTGCACGCGGACAGTGGGAGGAACCTAGATGGATCTGGTGAGAGAGACAGTGGCACTGGGTTTGCCCACAGACCCAACCGTGGGTCCTGTCTCAGTGCTCACTGCTTAGTGCTGTGTGAGCCTGGCCACAGTATTTCCTCTCTGACCCTCAGAGGGCTCCTCACATCACCTCCAGAGGCCTGGGGAGGGAGTACTTGGTGAACCTGTCCCAGGGGGAGTGGGCTTATAACAAGGGAGTGCCAAGTCTGAGCCCACAAAGCAGAGCTGTCCTTGGTGGGATTTTCTGGCATTTCTTGGTAGCAGCAGCAAACATTCCCCCAAAGCATCCTTACATGGTCAGGATCCCCACAGCCCTTTACTAAGATGGTCTCTCCATGCAGCCTCCCCCATCCCCCCTGAGGTTTCCATTCCTTTCTGGAACTCTCTTCCCTGAGGCCTAAGGAGAGGGAGTGACAGGTGAGCGCCCTGGCTGCTGGTCCACACTGTCAGACATGTGTGGGATGTTATGTAACCACATTAGCAGACAGAATGCAGACCTTGAAACAGCTCGGCTCGTGAGACCTGAAACACTTCCTGAAGTCCTCGGCACTCTCTGTGTACTGTCTAGCTCTGCACTGTCCAACAGGGCAGCCAGAAGCCACATGGCACTATTTAAACTTAAGTCAAATGCAGTTAAGTACAATAAAAAGTTCAGTGTCACTAACCTGTGTGACCTTGTCTCCTTCTATCCTTCTAACCATCTTCTCCACCGCAGGCCTTTTTCCTCCTCACATCCCTCCCTCTGGCTTCCTTTCTATGCGTAATCACGCAAAGCACCTCTGCCTCCAGGGCCTTGGCACTTGCTCTTCATCCTCCTGGAAAGCTCTTGCTCCAGTTCGTCCGGTGGCCATTTCATCCTCATTACTTAAGTTCCTAGGGAAGCATCCCTTCATCAGCGAAGCCTCCCCATGCCCTGAGCTGATGCCCTTCTCCTAGCCACTTTCTGCCCAGCCTGTCACCTCCTTTTGTACACTCCCCAGGACCTGCCACCAACTTATCTGCTTAGGTATTTAACGCCTGTGGCTCCCCACCAGAACATAAGTCACTTAAAGGGAGAGGCATGGTTTCCTCTCACCACCAAGGTCCATTTCCTGCGACAGCACCTGGGGCAGGCTTGTCATTCTATAAATGTCTGTTGACTGTCTCCAGTTTCCCACATTTGTGCTTCATGCTCAGGATGCTTGCCTCTGTGTACTAGTATTCAACATTTTTCTCTAAATTGGCCTGCATTCTAACTTGAGTACTTACTTTAGCCTTACCCTAACAAGTGAAGTTGTGCGATTTATGTGCTAATATTTCCAAATGTGCATCAAAGTAAATATATAATTATTTTACTTTTTCTTTTCTTCAGTGTGCTACCAAAAAAAGGTCATCATGCTCATCTCAAGTGGACACACTTTTTTGGAAGCATTGCTATACCCCAGCCGGCTCTTCCACTGCTGTTCCTCATGCCCACCCATGTTGCCAACTCACGGCATGACCACGGCTCCCCAGCCTCTCCTCCCTGATCTCACACTGTGGGTTTACAGAGCTAGAGTTCCAAGATCCTGAGATTTCAAACACATAATTGGGAGCAGTGGTACTGGGGCACCTGAGTGAATAGCTTGGGTCGTCCCCTGTGGAACATGTGACTCTTTAGCAATTTGCCCTCTGTGTGGCTATACGACTCTTTGAAAGGGCCTAACCAACAGGCACAGCCCAAACCAGCTCACTCACAACCACTGCCCATTTGCCAGCGACCTGCCAGGTGGGCCAGGAACATCACTGATCACAGGCATTTTCTTCTAAATTGAGCAGCGAGCCTCAGATCCTCCTCCACAGGCTGTGGCAGAAACACGAGTTCTGGCCGACCTGATTTCTCAGACACCACTTCCAGCTTTAACTGAGTCAGATGAGGGAAAAAGGAGGAGGTGAAAAAAAAAAATTACCAGCCTCAGGCACCCTGCCTCCACCTTCAGGTCTCCTGGGAAATCCATCAGGGTTTCCCAGGCTCAGGTAGACTGCTTTGTGCATGTTTTTGGTCATACGTTCTGGATCACCAGCAGCTTCGATGCCTTCACAAACAGGCAGCATCACCATTTGGCTTGTTTTATTTTGCTTTTTCTCAGAGGCATCTCCTTGTTTTGTTTTTACTTCCTCATTCTAGATATGAAGCACGATTCATCACTCAAGCCCCTTCTTTTTCTTACTCCCTGAGTTTCCATGTCCTCTTGGGAATTCCTCCCTCCCTTTCTTCCTCTTCCACTCGCGACCAGCCTCCCCACACGCTCCTTTCTCTCCACCTAAGAGATGACTTGTTAGGGGAACTTAGGAAGCTCCTGCCTTGTTTCTCATGGTTACATCATCTGAAAGTCTTTTATTCCTTCAAACTCACCATATGGTCCCCGTCACTTCTGGGCTTTCTCATGTGGGATTCCCTGATCCTGGCTCATCCTTTCCCATCACATTGGGTGGTTCACTCTCTCAATCATCCTTCAAGGCTCCTCTGAAATGACAATTCCTCCTGAAGCCTTCCGAAGCCTTGCCCACCACAGATTAAATGCATCTCCTATCTGCTTTCATCACATCTTGAACTTTCTCTGTCAAAATCACAACACTGTCTTGGCACCCTGTTTGTGCCAAGTGTGGCTTCTCTGGTGGTGCTAGGGAGCCTCATCCTCCTTGTGGTCACGTAGCCTACCCACTAGATAATTATAGAGTCCAAATGAGAAGAGTGCTTTTGCTACACAACACATCACCATCGCTTTACAGAAGTCCCACAGCTCCTGCTGCAGTAATCCCTGTAGCTGTCAGCCCTGCAAGGACAGGCTGTGTCTGTCTTGCTCATCCTTGAATCCCCAGTGCTCAGCAGAGGGCCGGAATGTGGTAAATCTTCAATAAATATTTGTTGACTCAGTGACTAGATGAATTAATTTCCTTAGAGTAACTGATGCTGGCTAGAATTTTGAGGATCTACTGAATATCAGAGAGACAACAAAAGGGAAAGAATGAGTATACCAGAAGCCCCCACATGGCTTTAAGTAGAGCAGCTTCTAACACAACCAGTTCACTCCCAAGGTCAGGCTCTCCAAGATCCGGTCCACATTTCCCTGCTCACTGAGATATTCTGGAGGGAGGGATTTGGGGATGGAAGTAGGGGCAGGGGAGGGAAAAGAGAAAGAAGGGAAGAATGACAGAGGGGGATTCTCACACCACTACCCCTCCAGGGTCTACCTGTCCATTCTATTTACCATCATTAGAAGACTGAGATGAAAACAGTGTGATGGTTTTAGAATGCTTCTTTCTTGGTATCTGCCCCAGATACTTTCAAACAAGGACCTCTTTCAGAGAAGCAGGTCCAGTGGAAGAATAATGTAATGGAAATGTATAATGTAGTTTAAAAAGAGAGAAAGTTTGAAAATAGCATCATAAAAGCAAGATTTCTTCCTCTTTCCAAACACATTTTAGAAAATCTAAATAACAGAAATGAAAATATATATGTCATCATATGTGGAATATAACTAAAATGGTATACAGAGGAAACTTCTTCCCTTAAATATGTGTTTCAATAAGAAAAGGAGAGCATTAAAATAAATGAATTAAGCGTCTAACTCAGTAAGTTAGAAAAATAGCAACAAAATAAACCTAAGCAAAGTAGAAGGAATGAATGTTGAGAAACGAGAAATAATGAATTACAGAACAGAGAATAATAAAACAAATTACAAATCCGGGTTTGGATTCTTTGGCAAAACCATGAAAGAGATAAAGCATTAGCTATCTTAATCCAGAAAAATATGGAAGAGTACAAAAGCACAAAATTTTTAAAAATGTTAAAGTGAAAATAAAACAGATATAGAGGAAATTAAAAGAATCACAAGGGATTACTTTGCTCGACTCTATGTAAATATGTCAAACACTTAGATGAAATGGGTAATGTTCTAGGAAAACACACTTTACAAAAATTGACTTAAGAAAAGTTAGAGAACTGTAATAAATGAAGTACTATAAAGAAATGGAGAAGTTGTCAAAGAGTTGCCCTTCAAAAAGCACCAGGCCCACATGGTTTCAAGAGAAATTATTGCAAACTTTTAAAGAAGAAATTATTTCAGTGTTATTTAAATTATTTCAAGGCATTAAAAAAAGGGAGAAAAACTTCCAAATTCTTTTCATGAAGCAAGCATGATATTGATATCAATCCCCACAAAGTTGCACAACAAAGTAAGTCATGGTTCAATCTCACTTATACTGAAACAAAAAATCCTAAATACAATAAATTCAAGAGCACATTAGTAGAAAATATATCTTAATCTAGTTGAGTTTAGTCCAAGAATATACTAACAATTTAATAACAATAACTTAGGAAGGTTTAATAATAGAAAATCTTTCTTGTTGTTGTTTAAAAAAACCAAGAAGTTACAAAAAAGTGACAACTTCATTAAATTTTCTAACATATTTTATTGCTTAGTATTTTTATTTGAGATATATAATAGGGTGGCATCTTAACAGTCTCAGTGTTTAAGGTCTGTAAACATCTTGACCAGGTCTTGATTGCTGCAAGAAGTTGGGTAGCACTGCAGACTGGTTGTGTTGGATGGGGATCCTGGGGTCTGCTGGTTGACACACTTTTAACACAAGTGGACCTGGAGGCTGAGTATGAGAGAGAGAAAGGGAGCTGGTTAAAGACCCCACCCCAACACGGGATAGATAGCCACAGCATTCCCCTACCCAGCTGAGGTCTGTAGTACTCTTGGGGTTTGGACTTGTCAAGGAGCTCAAAGAAAAGTGCTCTGGCTCTTGTGGTGGGGAGGTAGGAAAGGGGGAATCCTGCAGGGACTGGCATTTGCACTGTAGCCAAGGTGGCAGCTAATTTCTTTTTCTTTCTTTTTTTTTTTTTGAGATGGAGTCTCCCTCTGTCACCCAGGCTGGAGTGCAGTGGCGCCAGTTCGGCTCACTGTAAGCTCCGCCTCCAGGATTCACGCCATTCTCCTGCCTCAACTTCCCAAGTAGCTGGGACTACAGGCGCCCGTCACCATGTGTGGCTAATTTTTTGTATTTTTAGTAGAGACGGGGTTTCACCGTGTTAGCCAGGATGGTCTCTATTTCCTGACCTCGTGATCCGCCCATCTCGGCCTCCCAAAGTGGTAGGATTACAGGTGTGAGCCACCACGCCTGGTCTTCTTTCTTTTTTTAAAATAACAAATCCACCTTATTCAAGGCACTCAGTAACCATTCCTCCCTGGAGGCTGGAAGACAGAGCTAATTTCTAGGACAGTTAAAAGAATAACATTTTTAGATGCAGCCAAAGAGTGAAGTTGACCTTGAGGTTGAGGGGAGAAGGTTAAGGTTCTTGGGGATGAGCATGGAAGTGAATCATGCTAGCCACCACGGTTCAGTGATGGCCTAGAGGAGAATCAATGAGAGCTGCACAATTTGGAATGTTTTCAGCCTGACATACTTACTGGTGTATGTGATAGAGATGAGTGTACATTGACAGAGAGACAGAGACAAAAACAGGGGTGGGGAGGAGACGGGGAGGGTGAAGGGGAGGAGAGAAGCAGGGTGAGGAGAGAGGGAGAAAGACTCATTTTATATTTTAAGTAAAGAGTAATTATGGATCAATACTCCATACAGTGAACCTGCCTCTACTGGATTCTGGTTTGCAGCAATAGCTGCCATGTACTGAGATTGCTTCCCTGGAGGAGCGCAGGAAGCTGCCTCACACCATGCCAAGTTGACTGGGCTTATTCCTGGGCACCCTCTTGCTAGGCTGCACGTGCTACTTAATTAGATCTTCAACACATCCACCCATATGCTAGTGCTTTGAGGACAAGCTTCTACCTATAAGCACTGGATTCATTAACCTAAGAAAACATAGAAAGTGAGGTCTGGGAGAGCCTGTATTTTGGAAAGTCTCTCCTTTCATGTCAGCTATGTGGGAATCCAGCTCTGAGACACAGCACTGAAAGCCAGAGAAGCAGAGGAGAGCTTGCGCTTACTGGCCCTAACCTCTCCCCTACCCTAGAATCCTCCCTGCCACATCTCCGAGGGTTGGTAGCCAGCTCCTCTTTCATCTCTTTGAGGGACAGGGAGCTTATGACAGCAAAACTAAGTCCCTTTTATTTCTTAAATAAGAGCCTCTCTTGATGCAACTTGGCCTACTTCCTCATTTTACAAACCCGTCAGTTTCATAATTGAAAAATGACATCTCATCATTGTTTTGTTTTCTGTATCTTTGATACAAAAAAGTTGAGTGTCTTTTTTCATATGCTTATATTGATCATTCATATTCATCCTTCTGTGATTTAACACTACATTTCATTTGCTCATGTTTTTCCTATCGGTGTGATGTTTTCAAGATTCGTTTAAAAGAGTTTTACATGACTTAAATTATAACCTTTGTTTTTCACATTTATTTTCATATTTCTTTCCGGGTTTATACTTTTCCTTTTGTTATTGTTTTGTTATTTGTGAGAGAGAAAGAGAGCTGGTTAAGGTCCTTGGTGTCCATACAGACCCTGCCTCCAATAAGGGATAGATAAACAATAAAATATGTTAGAAAACTTAGAGTAAATATTTTAAATTTTATGTAGTTAAATCTTCCTACATGAGATATTTTATTGTATTTATTCATAGAAACTCCTTCTCATCTTGAAATAACTTAAATATTACTTTTTAACATGTAGATGTTTATGTCCTTTTAAAAATATTTAGTGTATATTTCACACATCTTAATTTTTTATTTATTATGAAGTCTAGGTTAGATCTAGCTTTTTTTCTCCTTCAAAAACAGCCATTTTCTTCAATACCATTTGTTCAGTAATCCATCTCCTCGCCTTAGTTTCTGATACACATGTTAGAGTAGGTAGCTAAGCAGACGTGAGCAGAGCAGGCGAGGGCCTCCCCTCTATCCCTTAGAATGTCGGGCAACTGTCAGGTGATGGTCAGGCAGTTGTTAAACTGGCTCGCTAAAATAATAATTGGCCACAGCTGGCACCAAGGAAAGGCAGGCTCCCAATAGATAGAAAACATCTGAAACTGGTGATCAGCAGCTTCCCAGTAAGATTTCAGGAGCAGGGCGAGTGGGCTCAAGCATGCGCACT